AAAAATTTGACTCCTGTCATTAAAAAATTCTTAAATATTTTATTTCGATTTTGGTAACTTCTGGTAACATTTTTTACTTTTTCAATATCAATTATTTTCAAATTATTATTTCAATTTAGTCGTAGAGTGAGTTAAATTGTCAATTTAGAAAATCCTAACAAGATATGGTTTTGTATATTTTTTTTGAATTTGTTTTAGTTTTATTGATAAAAACTTTGTTTTTATAATTTTTCTCGAATGAAATTGTAAATAGAAATTGGATTTGAGATTTTTTATTATAATAAACAAATTTTTTTTGTTTCAAGTGTATACATATAAACTTACTCATCATTAGCAAAAATATTTCTCTTCAGTAACATAAATTACAGGCATCAGTTTATTAGATTTTAATTTAACACTGATTATTAAATACCATTGATTGACAATTGAATTTTCAAATAATTTCTTTTTAATTATTATTATTATTATTATTATTAATTATCAAATTTCTTTTCAATTTTTTATTTTTATTTTTTTTTTTATTGTGTATTAATATTGACTCAATTTATTGTCTCATTCATTTTAAAAGAATAATTATTAATTAAGAAACCGTATAAGCGTGTGTGTGTGTGTTTGAGAAAAAAAAAAAAAAAATTTGATAAATTAAAAATTTCTTTTGCAAATCAAAATTTAAAAAAAAAATGTTAAAGAATTAAAAAAGAAAAAAAAACTAAATAAAAGTGTGCAAACGTGAGATTCGTCATGTAGTAAAACGATTGCCTATGGAAAGAAAAAAAAAAGCGTAATAAATTATTTACGTCATTAAGTTGTTTAAGAAAAAAATTTTTTTTTTTCCTCGAATAAATACATAATAATATTTTTGGCGCAAATTTTAAACTTTTAAACGTGTGATATTGCACGAGTTGTTTCGGTTATATTTATATATAAAAATATAAATAAAAAAATAAAATTGAATTCATCGGTTACGTTCGAGTAAATAATTCAATTATAACTGATTATTAACTTTTCCTTTGACGGAAATTTTAAACTGTCAATAATTATTCGTCCTTAATTATCATTTTAAATTTAAATGGAATTAAAAAATGTTACCGATCAAACATATTAATTAATCAAATAAAAAAAAAACAAGAAATACCGTTGTTGGTGTGTTTTAAAAAATTAAAACCGATTCACGGATATAAATTTATAGGAAATATTTACTATTTTGTTTTATTTAATAAATTAAAACTATAAATAAATTTATTAACCCCTGAAATAATTAATATTGAGAGAGAGAGAGGAGGGGGAGGGGAGGGAACGCACTAAACACGATAGGAAAAAAAACTTTAAAACTTTTATATAAAAATTAATTTAAAAAAAAACAATAAAATGTTTAAATTTATTATTTATAGTTTATTGTAAATAATAACAATTTTTAACATTGCATGTTTAATTTAATAAAATTTTACTCATTGTTTTTCATTTAAAGATCATATTTTTTAAAATATTATTCGCTGAAGCCATTTGTTTCTTTTTTGTCTTTTATATTATTAAAAAATAATAATAATAATTTCAAGTCGTCTTCATTGAAAATTAATCTTTCTTTTTTTTTTTTGACATTGTTGTTAGCTATTGCGTTTTGAAATATATAGATTTTTAAATTTAGGGATTCATTAATATTTTTATATGAGCTTTTTTTTTAAAAAAAATTTATCCATGTGCTTGCGAAAGATTATCTAAAATTGAAGAGTATAGAAAAAAGAAAAAAAGAAATATGGCGGATCATAACTACTTTCACTTTAGTTCACGGCATTAATTTTTATATTATTT